ACCTTGTACTGAAGATGTAAGCTCCATTTGGAGGCAATAGGTACTGACAGATCTATCCAGGCTCTTCTTTCAAAACTAGCTCAAAGCCATCAATGTACCCATTCAACAGGGCTAGCTTGAGTCATCTGGCTGCCTCAAGCAGAGCAGCCTGTGGCATGCCCAGCCCATACCATTCCACTTTGGGAAATTAAGTGCCAACACCTTATGCAGTTACTTTGGCATTGAGACAAAACAAAACAAAACAAAAACCACAAAGATCTTTTTCCATCCCTGACAACAAACATGAAACAATAAATCATGGAACTAACAATTTGCTGGCCTTTCATGGCAATGGAAGTGTCTACTTCATTCTGCCTAGTGGCAGGACTGGCCCTGCTGAACCCGGACAAGACGGAGGTCCTGAAGGTGGGCGGTCCCTCCATCGGTGGTTTGGGAAACTCCCTCTCTTTTGGGGGGGGGTGACTCTCACCACGAAGAGTGAGGTTTGCAGCTTGGGGATTCATCTGTACCAGGTGCTCACCATGGAAACCCAGGTGGCATCAGTGGTCCGTTCCGCCTATTTCCATCTGTGACAGATTGCCCAGCTGTGTCCCTATCTTGATGGTGGGGCGTTCACCACTTTGGTCCATGTGCTTGTAATCTCGAGATTAGACCACTGTAATGCGCTCTACTTGGGGCTACCTTTGAGATTGATGCGGAAGCTTCAAATGGTGCAGAATGTGGCAGCCAGACTACTTACTGGAACAAGAAAATACCAGCATATTTCTCCCATTCTAGCTGCCTTGCATTGGCTGCCCATTCGCTTCCGCATTGATTTCAAAGTGTTAGTGTTGATATATCAAGCCCTAAATGGTTTAGGACCTCGATACCTAGTGGAACGCCTTCTCCCATCTAGATCTACTCGAATCACTCAATACAGCCAGGAAAGGTGGCTGAGGGGCCTAACGCCGAGGAAGGCCCAGAAAGAAAGAACAAGAAACTGGGCCTTCTTGGCAGTGGCTCCTTGACTTTGAAATAAACTTCCATCGGAAATTCACCTGGCACTCTCACTGGGTATTTTTAAGAGCCAACTTAAGACCTGGCTCTTTAGGCAGGCCTTCCCTCCAATCACCACTTGATTTTCTTTTCTATCTTCCATTTTGCTTTTCCATCTTGAATGCCACTAATATTATTGATTTCAATTGTCATTTAATTCTTTATATGTTGTTTTCATGCTTTTACTGTAAGCTGCCCAGAGCAGACGTAGTCTAGATGGGCGGGATACAAATCTAATAAATAAATAAAATAAATAATAAACAAATATTGTGTGAAGAAATGCTGTGTTTACTTGTTCCAAATCTACTACTGATCAACCATATCTAGTGATTGCAACTTCAAATACAGTGGGATCTCCATATCCACAGGATCAGTATCCACGGCTTCATTTATCTAGGGTCTAAAAATATTACAAATATTAAAAGAAAACCAGAAAAAAACTATTTTCACATGTATTACCATAACAAGCCACTAGATGGAGACAGGGACCATGCTATGAATAGTTTTTAGTGAAGAACACATAGCATGGTCCCTGGCACCCACTAGTGGTCAGTCCTGGTGATGCATGTGAAAATAATTTTTCTTGAATTTTTCCTTTTGTATAGTGTTTATATAGTGTTTGCTATTATACACGGTTTTCAATATTTGGAGGGCCACAAAACCAATCCCCAGCAGATATGGCGTCCTACTGTAATATCAGAATGAGAGAACAAATTAATTTACTGTCTCCAAATTAGTAATAATTTTGCAAATCTGTCATATCTCTTTGTTAAAATCATGTGTTTTCCCCCTAACTAAAAAGACTCGAATGTAGTGCCTTAATTGGAAGAGTAGATGTCATGGAAAACTCAGCTATTACCATGAAAAAGACACTGCTTCAAAACCAATAGCTAAGGGGAAACTTGTGGCTATTCTCCTCTGCGGATCTCTGTACTTTTATTGCATAGTAAAAGGAAATTTTGTCAGAAATTCAAAACTCTGCAACATTTCTAAGGTGGGAAGTGTACTAATTACATCAAGAGCCTAAATAGCTTTGAAAGCCCCTTTGAAGACCAGCAACATCCCTGCCTTCAAAATCACCCCATTGCAGAGTGCCAGGCAGCCCTACACACAGAGTAATCTCTCAACCTGAGAAATAGAACTCTTGAAAGCAGGGATTGTACTAGCCAAGCCCCAGTGCCATCTCTGCCTTCAGAGTCTCATCGTTTCACAAACCCCCTGACTCAGTTTGCGCTGTTCCTCCACTAGCAAGCTGCCATGTCTTTTAACATGCCAATTCTCAGAGCATAAGCCCTGACTAGTCTCAAGCAAGAGAACCATTTGGAAATCAAAAACTTTGTTGCTGAAAAATATGCTTATGCCTTGTTTGTTCTTCCTTTATCTACACCATAAATGGGAACTATTAATACTTGGGGGGCGGGGGGGAATTCCCAGGATATCCTGGCAAGCAGGACCAATAGGTATTTTAGGTATTATGGGCTGATAGATTCATATTTCTCATTTCTACTTTACACCCATGTTTACATGACTACCCACAAAGGTGAACAAGAAAGGCACTGACCCTGTTAGAGAGTTAGGAAGAAGAAAGCAAGTGCATTGACTGAATCCTGCATCTTCTCCATACACGCTCCACTGGCATATGACTACCATTGTCCAAGTCAACTGCTGGGCAGTATATGTGTACCTTCTAGTATTTGGAGACATAATTCCCCTTTCGACGTATCTTTCTGCATCTATATGTGAGAGAAATCAACAAACATGTGTCTATCAATAGACGGATTGTGGCAAATGTCATCAGAAAGATAAAAGCCTGTTTCATACATTCTAAGAAGTTAATATTTACAAATGTAAGCACATTTCCCAGCTCAACCATTAACTAATTTTACATATCTTTTTGGAGGACAAGGATTCATGTTACCTTGGCCATATATACAAAGCCACATGCTGCATGTTTAGGAGATAGTCAATGAAGAAATTAGATGAATGACTACTCTTTTGCCAGAGAACTAGCCCAAAAGCTCCATGAAAAATTCAAAATCAAGGGTCGAGTCCAGGCCTATTCATATTGGTGGCCAAGTTAGATGTTATGGGAGTTTGCATTTCATTCCATTAACCTTTTTTCCCTTCTCTAGTGGGATCTCCTCATAGATATGTGTCTTGGCCATCTGACTTGGAAACCAAATCCATATTCAATTTTGAATCAGGAATCACAAAACAAAGCATGCTAAAGCATGTGGGTGAGGGGGGGAAATCATATACCATGACAAACAAATCTCTTTCACTACAGGAAGTATTATTTCTAAAAACATGATAAGTATATAATCTGGTTTGGCCAAGTTATTCATGATCAGTGATTCTCAGCCTTGGGTCCCCAGATGTTCTTGGACTGCAGTTCCCAGAAACCTTCACCACTAGCACTGCTGGCCAGGATTTCTGGGAGCTGTCATCCAAGAATATCTGGGGACCGAAGGTTGGGAACCATTGCTCATGACTAATCAATGACTCATTGATTTCAGTGCGCCTGCCTTAAGTATGGTTGTGGTCACACTGCAATAACCACTTAAGAATCCTTTAAATCAATTTAGTTTTTATCGTTCACATGACACATGGGTGAAACCATTTTATATGGCCTGCAAAGCAAGTTTTTTTCAACTGGCCAGCAGGGACTTTTTAAAATACCTCACTTCTGAAATCGATTCAATTTTTTAATGCAGTTTTGGTGAGTGTGAACACTGTTTCATTTGTGTCTATGTGGATTTTGGGTGGCAAGGGTGCAGCCGTTTTTCCTTTTAATTTTTTTTCTTAAAAATTCTTTCCTAAAATGTTTACTACTGCACCATTTCATCAGTACATTTGGCATTTCTACCACCTACTCCGTTCTCTCCATTTGGCTGATGAAGGAGCCGGTGGAGCAGCAGCAGGTCAGTAAATGCAGAGCAGGCACAGAAGGGACACAGAGTGGATGTGCATGGACATGGAGAATGGTCTGTGTGCCAGGAGCATTGCCCTGCAAAAGAGCTGGAAGCCTTCTCTCCCCTGCCCCACTTTTTCATAATTAATCAGCTGGGGACACCTCTTCAGTGTTTTCCCTGTGGTTTCTAGCAACTATTATGACACCAGGTAGCATCTTATTATGACACCAGGTAGCAATTTATTGATGTATCTCTTACTTTAATTTTTAAGAAAAACTTTAAGAGCAGCGTGCTTCTAAAACAGAAGGAAATCAGTTGATTTCAGCAGCGTAGGTACCAAAACTGGGTTTAAATCACCAGGAATCAATTGATTTATGTTCAATGCATGCAAACGCAGCAACTGGTTTCAATACCACATGACTTGAACCTGATATTTTAAAAAAAAAAAACACGGTCCATATGGGACAAGGCACATGCAGGCATTTGTCCCTGTGAACAGAAATCGATTCAAATTTCCAGTGTGATCACGGTCCATATGGGACAAGGTGTATGCAGGCATTTGTCCCTGTCTTGAACAAAGGGAAGATCACACTAGTTCAAACCTTTCTTTTAACTTTCTTCGTCCTTCCATCACCTCAGGGATACAGGGGGCTTCTTATGCTCCACATATAGGAGGGATATGGAATTGAAAACAGAAAAAATTGACTAGCTTGGAGGCAATGTTGTTCTCCTTCAGACTTATTGTTCTCCATATATAGAAAATAACAGAACCGAGACTGGAAGGTTTGAATATAGGAGGGATATGGAATTGAAAACAGAGAAAATTGACTAGCTTGGATGTTGTTCTCCTTCAGACATATTGTCCTCCATACATAGAAAAGAACAGAACCGAGGCTTGAAGGGATGGGTCTAGAAAGTTCATCCTCCTTGTGTGTTTGTTGAATGCAGGAAGGAATGCCTGACTAAGATTTAGTTCTGGATCCAACCACAACTCAGTGTGCTCTTAAAAGATCCATCCCCTGTCTCATCTCTAATTCTTTTCTTCTCTTTCAGAGACTTGATGGAAGCTCTGGTTGGCTTGCTCCTCTCTTGTGAACAGGATGACACCTCCCACTGCAATGAGACAATGTGCTGGAAGGAATGAAGGCCTCTAGAGCTCTTAAAAATGTTGGTTAGAGCTGCTAAAAGAGGACCAGTGAAGATGCTGGCAAAGCTCCATGTGCTTGCTCTGGCTTTCTTTTCCGAAGGAATCTTCCTTACTCTGGGTGACCACAATTTTATAAGGAAAGAAATCAAAATTGAAGGAGATCTGGTTTTGGGTGGTTTGTTCCCAATTAAAGAAAAGGGCAGCGGTACAGATGAATGTGGGAGAATCAATGAAGACCGAGGTATCCAGCGTCTGGAGGCAATGTTATTTGCTATTGATGAGATCAACAAAGATAGCAATCTGCTCCCGGGAATTAAACTTGGAGTTCATATTTTGGATACTTGCTCACGGGACACATATGCATTAGAACAGTCTCTGGAGTTTGTCAGGGCTTCTTTGACTAAAGTGGATGAAGCAGAGTATATGTGCCCTGATGGGTCATATGCAATTCAAGAAAACATCCCATTACTCATTGCAGGTGTTATTGGAGGTTCTTACAGCAGTGTCTCCATACAGGTGAGATATTAAGTTCTATAAAAGGGGTCATCAGCTGCTGTAGGGAATCCGAAAGTGAAAATCATCTGGGTTGGTGTGACTGTTGCAGAGCCAAAAAAGCAGAACAATGTTGTGCAGTTCCAGTTTAAGCCAACTAAATAGTGGAAAGTGCAGCATCACTGATAGACAGAGCAATGCAGCACTTGCCGCTGCCTTGGGGTTGGGGAATAATATTATTGGACTACAGGTCCCATCATCTGTGACTAAATTCTGGGAGCCAGAATTTAGCAATATCTGGAGGGCCAGGGTTTCTCTGCCCCATCCTAACTGGTGCTACCCAGATATGTGAAGTGTGGATACCATCCATCATCACCACCAGTGTTCCATCAGGAGAAGGAAAAATGACTCATGGATAGGCAGATTTCAGAGCTTTAGGCTATGAGATTTGGGGGCAAGGGACATAATTGAGTCCCAGATCATGTGCTTGCTTGTGCAGAGTCGTAAAGTCAATCAGTGGCATGACAGACTTTTAGGCCAAGCATGTTAACATAGGCTATGAGATTTGGGGGCAAGGGACATCATTGAGTCCCAGATCATGTGCTTGCTTGTAAAGTGTCATAAAGTCAATCAGTGGCATCACAGACTTTTAGGCCAAGTATGGTAACATTCTTTATTTTATTTTATTTTATTTTCATTCATTCATTCATTCATTCATTCATTCATTCATTCATTCATTTTGTTAAACTAGAATTTCTAGAATCTCCCCCACCAGCATTCTGGGAATTGTACTTCACAATATTACCAAAGATTCAATTGAAATGTACAAGTAACTGATTGTCAGTGGCTTGATCATTTTGGCAGTGATACTTCTATATTCCGGGCCATTTTTTTTGTGTGTGCAAAGTTTGCAAAAAACTTTGTATTTTGAAAAAAAATCATTTTGGGAGATAACCTTGTTCTTTTGTGCAAATCCTCTGAATTTTGCACAAAATGCAAGTATTTCTACTCAAAATTACTCACTCTTTCTGTAAAAGATTTAAGGGTTTGGTTTTTGGTTTTTCATGTATGTTTTGCAAGGGTTTTTGTTTTGTTTTGTTATTGTTTTGCGCATCCACATACTTTTTTGGGGGGGGGCTAGTGGTACTGTTGAAGAAGGGATGCAGGTGGCGCTGTGCGTTAAACCACTGAGCCACTGAGTTATTTATTGAAAGATTGGCAGTTCAAATCCACATGATGGGGTGAGCTCCCCTTGCTTGTCCCAGTTTCTCCCAACCTATCAGTTCTAGTGCATGCAAATATGACTAGATGAATAGGTACCTACTCAATGGGAAAGTAACAGTGTTCTATATCTAGTCATGCTGGCCACATGACCATGGAAAGTATCTATGGACAAACGCTGGCTCTTCGATTTACAAATAGGGATGAACACTAACTCCTCGAGTTGGACACGACTGGATTTAATTGTCGAGGGGAACCTTTAACGTTACCTTTTTTTACTGTTGAAAGATGTGCTAGTATTTTGCTACTGTGCAAAAGCAGAACCATATCTCACAATGGCTGTCAGTTTATTTAATAGGGTGTCTTGGTGGGCTGAAAGGCCCCATCAAAACAACTGTCAGCCACTTTCAGCTTTTTGCTACTGCATGAGAGTAAAAAGGCCAGCAAATAACAATGTAGAGAGAAACACCTTTTCATCAAGGACAAGAACATTTATATTTCTAACATCCTTTCCCTCCAGTACCAAAAGCAATTTGCCTCTTGGTACCAGTTGCTGTAGAAAATGAGTTATAAGGTGCTATACCATGTTGGCTTTGGGTAAATATCTGCTTGGCCACTATGGAAAACAGGATGAACTAGATACCATAAATCTTTGACCTGCTCTAGCATGGCCTTTCCTTTGTTTTTCCTCATGTTACAATGATGCCATGCACCCCTAGAGCCTCTAACCAATCCTTCAGTTGAACTGTCTCTCAGATAGTAGCCCAGTTCCATGGCATCTTTGGAGGGCATCCAGAAATAGTCACAAAGAGGGATTGCTATGCCCACAGAGGAGATGAGGGGAAGAAACTAGGGTTACTGGTATACGTACAGGACAGCAAAGTGAGAATGATTCACTTGTGAGCATAAGTAGTTTGTGGTTACTGCAGGGGCCACTGACCTCAGAAATTTCAAGGTGAGATTCTCCACTGTTCGGTCCCTGAGTTGCCCCACTTGTGGGACAGATGTGAAACAAGAACCCTAGAATCTAAGTACAGTGTTGCCTCCACTTACAACCATAATCCATTCCAGAAGATGCACACTTATCTTTTGCTGGCCAAAAAGTTCTGCAAATCTTCAGTTTCTTCAAACACAGGATGCACCCACAACACAGACCACAGTTGCCCCTCACTAAGTCAACCTTGGAACTGCATGTGGAAAAGTAAACCCAGGCTGTATTGGGAAGGCTTTTTAAACCTTCCCGGCAAAAGGCACAATGCATCCTGGGTATTAATGGTTGAGATTTGAACAACAACAAAAAAAACCCTGCAGACATTTGTTTTGCAAAACAGAGTCTGTTAAAACAATCGTCTTGCAAGTCATCGACCCAGCTGTCAAAATCGTCGTCTTGCGAAACAGCATCCCTTAAAAAAAAAACACCTTGCGAAGCACAGACCCAATTATCATCTAGCAAAAATCGCCCATAGGAAAAACCGGTTTGTGAAGCACAACAGTGATTGCAAAAACTAATCATCTTGTGGATTAATCATTTTGTGAGGTAATCGTCTTGCGAGGCACCACTGTATAAGTATCTCAATCAAAATTCAGGGCAATCATGTGTCCTACTGTTCTTCAACAGAGTTTATTTTGTACAACATTTTGTATAAGTGTCCTAAACCAGTAGACTGGGGACTCAGAGATGTCTTGCCCCTGACGGTGCCCCAAATCCCTAATGGCAATTTCCCACACTTTTCCCCTAATCCATCCTTCACCCTTATCTGGAGCTAAGTTATCTTCACTAGCCCTCATCCAACAATACCCTTCCATCAGGACTGGTAGTCCCTGATGGAGGTTAGAATTGGAGGAGCCTTCTTCCAGTACCTGAGCTAGCTCCTTGAGGCACGGCCTCTGGTGGTGCCATCTCCAGCATCAACACTGAGTGGGAGCTGGTCGATGCGGGCAAGTATTACCTGCTTCTTTAGATCCACTTTCTAGTCTCTCCTCAGGAGTAAATGGCCCTCTCCTGCATCCCTGGCCTTTCTCAAGCTCACCTAGTCTCCAGTCAATGGATCTTCCTGATCATTCATCCTTGCCTCTGCTGAAGTATAGAATACCGGCAGCAATTCTTCCCAGGACTCTGCCCACATCTCTAGCTTTGCCTCTCACATAGCGTCCCCCCTTTCTCCTCTTATTTTAGCCTCCCTCTTTCCATCCTACTTATGCCATAATCTTGCCCCAGATGTTTCTCCTTCTACTGTCACACAGGTGTCCCTTTACCCAGTCCTCAGCCCCTACTAGCTCTGTCATTGGGGCAGATCTGGCATGGCTTTCTGACTTCAGGGAGCTCTTGCTTTTGGGCTGGCTCATCACTGAGCTCTGGAGTCAGTGGGGTTTTTATCAGGGCTCCCATGTGCTCCTCCCTGAGACCTGTAGAACAGGTGTACGGCCACAAAGGATGCCAAGAGCATCCCCCTCACACCATTGTATCATCTAGCATCTTCTCAACTTTTACATTATTAGACTCTCCATCATATCTAGAAATTAAGAGACATAACTAATAATGCCTTTTGCGCCGGCTATCTCTGTTTACAAGGGTTTCACTCAACAGGCTTTCCTCCTGAGATCAATACAAAACTATCTCAATCGTAGAAAGAAAAATCAATGACCTTTTCAATTAGATTGTCTTTCCCCTGGAAGAGAAACCGATGCTAGGGAGGTGAATGTTTGCTAGTGCACTTGAAACTCAACACTGAATAAGGTCGCTAAGAACTCAAGAGGTGGACTAGGAACAGTTATCATTCTTTGAATGAATGCAAGAAAACAATGGGCACAGAGCAAAGAGACAGGACTGATGCACACACTGCTCATTGTTCTGCAGCCTTTATCAAATCTTTAGTGGCAGTGACTTTCCTTGATCAGTGCAGAAGTGGGAATCTGCCCTTCCTCCTGTGATGTACTTAATGTTGTGTGCTGAGTGGAAGCATAACTCTCCTGCTCAGGAAAAGGGGACGAGTGGAGAGATTACTTCCTAACTCTCAGCTTGGTCTTCTGGCTACTATGCTGCACAATCACATCTCCGCTCTAGTTGCAAGTCCTCTGAATTACGAGGTGTAGAAGTCAGAGTGAAGAAAGAAAAAACTGTAGCTCAGGAATCTTTGGTATACACTTCCAAATTGGGAATGTACATTGAACAAATATGCAAACATTACACCAACAAAATGCAAAGCACAATGAAAAGTAAAATATATAGTCTATTGTCTCTTTTTCCATTCTCATTTTTTTAATGCCAAAAGTGATTGAGCCAGAAACCTGATACGCAAAGCTCCATTCTTTGCCCAATCATGATTTGTTTCAGAAAGAATACTTCCTTAGAATTTGCATGATCTCTAAAATAACATCGGTGTGTGTTTCTCCCCTGCTGAACTTTTACATGCTCCATTTTAAGTACTGTATATCCCAAGGCCAGTCCTGCCTCTGGGCAGATTGGGGCAGTCACTTAAGGCAGCAGATGTTGGGAGGCAGCAGCAAATATTGGAGGGCAGAGATGCATGCCATGGCAGTTTGCCTTGCAGGTAATCTGCCGCCCATGGATGTGATTAGGTTGCTGTATCAACAGCAGCCTAATTCCTTGAGCTTTTAGAAGCAAACAGGGAGAAGAGGAAGTAAACCTGTATGATGTCACAGCAAGTGATACAAAACTGCTTCTGAGCCAGCCGATTATGGAAATGAGCATGAAAGGAATATAGATAAACCTTAACTATCTAGGGAATAAGGCAACCAGAGCCAGGGTATGGTAAACCCTCCCTCCCTCCCTTCCTTCCTTC